CTCTTCCTTTCATCGTTGCTTTTTGTCTGTACATCGGAAGTAGAGTTTTTATTTTTACTCGCTATAGTGACCTCTTCTTCTTCTTTTTCCACTTGACAAACAGAAATTTCTTTTCTTTTGCTCTCTCTCTCTCTTCTAGTATTTTGTTAGAAGACGATGGAATGTCCGTTAACCTAGAGAAACGATGGATTGTACAGTTCAGTTAGTCGATCACTATTGCTTCCTTCACGAAGGTTTCTTCGAGACAAAGCGTGAAAACCGTTATCCATTCCATCGTAATCTCTGGGTTCTCATGGGGTACGATGATGCCGACGTAAATTTGCGATTAAAAATGTTCAATTGCCGATGAAGGTGGGGGTAATTGGTGTTAAAGGAGGATCGCTGAGGTTAGCTAGGATGGAATAGGAGAGTGTGAACGGTTGTTGGAAAAATCCTGTTATCCTTTGTTCCTTTTTTATCGTTTGACCAGCGAGGATTGTGCCGTTACAATAATCGTGGAAGCAGTTTTTGACGATGATCGAGGATCGGTGGAATATATATTTAAAATAGAATGTAATATTGAAGAGAAAGACCCTATTGAGACAATTTTAAGAGCAGAAATTGGGCAATTACTACAGTTCCATAGAGTGCCAAGTAAAAACCAACTCAGACAGAAAATAATATTGAAAACAGGGATAATTTCAAGAGCAGAAATTGGGCAATTATTACAGTTCCATAGAGTACCAAGTAAAAACCAATTGAAACAGAAAATAATATTGGAGACAAAGTCAATATTAAGAGCAGAAATTTAGCAATTATCGAAAATTCGTCAATTCAGAAAATTCGCAATTAACGTACTTTCCATAATTCCCAAAGATAGCAAGGATCGAATAAATATTCCAATTACCATAAATTTATCGAACGCGACGAACATCTTTGGTTCACCAGGTTGCTTCGGGCGTGAGTTCTGGCAGGTTGGTGGAAGCAGAAAGGGAGAGAAAGGAGGCACACGGTGCAAACGACGACAGA